GCGGCGATCTCTCGCGGGCGCGGTGACCCTGCGGCGCCCGGCCCTGTCCTCGCCCGCGCGGCTGTCTCGCGCAGGTCACGTCCCTGCCCTGGCTGGCTGGCGGCGCGTCTCCTCGGCCTCCCCGCTCTCACCGCCAGTTTGGCCCTGAAAATCCTGGCCGGCAGCCCGGCGCGGGGCGCTGGAGAGCGGGGTGTGCGCGGCCCTGCGCGGGCAGGACGCGGGGTCTCAGCGTCACCCCATCGGCGCCGGCCCACTCTTAAGTGGCATCTTTGGCTGTGGCTCTGGGCTCATGTCAGACTTGCCAAAGGCGTGGACCTAGACAGTGCTCTGTAAGTGGAGGCCTGGCAGCCAGCGCCCGGGACCTCTGGGGGAGGATGGTGACGCCCTGGCGCTTCTCTGTCAGGGTCTGCTTGTGGCACCTCAGGGGTTTTGAGCTCAGGAAGGAACTCTGCCTTCTGAGACCCCCTGGGTGCTGTCGCAATGCCAGGCTCTGCTGGCTGCTGCTGGGCACTTTGCCCAGAGTCATCTCAGCCTCTGAGGACTTTGGTGAGGGGGCCCTTGAGAGCTTGTGTCAGCGGAGGGCCAGCTGGAGTGACCCGGTGGCCGGGGGGCCCCTGGAGACAGCCCCCCACGAGGGGTGGCCCGGCTGCCTCCTTCTGCACCTCGGAATCTGGCTCCGGGCTGGAACTCTCCTGGTGAAGTTCCTTCCCCTCCTTTTACTGTACCCCTTCACCTACCTGGCTCCCGGAGTCTCCAGACTCTGGCTGCATCTACTTCTGAAAGCCACGGAGTCCTCGGGCCCAACGTACATCAAACTGGGCCAGTGGGCCAGCACCCGGCGAGATCTCTTTTCCGAGGCCTTCTGTGCCTGCTTCTCCAAGCTGCACGTCCAGGTTCCTCCTCACCGTTGGATTCACACTGAACACTTCCTGCGCCAGGCGTTTGGAGAGGACTGGGCGAAGTTCCTCAGCTTTGAGACACGAGAACCCGTGGGTTCAGGTTGTGTGGCCCAGGTGTACAGAGCACAGGCCAACCCCGCTTTCCTGGAGGGTGACAGCATCCAGAGACTGGCCAAGGCTTCCAGTCTGTGGCCTTCCTCAGAAGCCGAGGCAGCCGCAGGGCTGAGAGAGCCCTTCGTACGCCCGGGGAGCGGGTGGAAGCCTCAAGGGAGTCTTGCTGACCAGGCATTTCTAGAAAGCCTGCTTCTCCCCAAAGCTGATGTGGCTGGACTCAATGCCGGCACGTCTCAGGCATCTGCTCACCCACTGGGGCCTGGTAATCTCATCCCTGTGGCCGTGAAAGTAAGTAAGTAAGTAAGTAAGTAAGTAAGTAAGTAAGTAAGCCTTTTAATAATGGCTGCCTGATATTCTCCTGGTCAGGCCTGGTCAGGTGTGGGGGGAAACTGACGCAGAGCATCCTAGCAATTGGCTCTGCTCTTAGAAGACGTAGGGTGGTTGTGTTCTGTGAAATGCCAGCTGTCTCAGACTCATCAGCTAATCTTTATCACTGCCTTGGAGGTGGGCACTTGCTTCACTTTGTACTTCTACCCCACTTTGTGAGGGGAGGCAGGCATGCATCTTCGGTTTGCTTTGAGGGGCGCGAGCTGCTGAACTGGACTGTGGAGAGCCAGCGCTCTTCCCGTCCTGTCCTGGGCATCCCTCCTGGCTGTCAGTGGCTCCTGAGCCATGTTGATCCAGTTCTGGATGCCCCGCCCTGGGGATAGTGACCTGGTACGTGGAGTAAAAGGCACACTCCACCCTCACTCCCAGAGTGTGACTCAGATGTCCTGGAGGAGGCTTGATGCCCACATTTTCACCAAGCACCCCATGGTGACTTTCCTGAATTCTACTGTTTGGGAATCACTGACCTAAACTTTGTGTGTTGAGAAGACCCACCTATTTCTTCTAGTAAAGCTAAATGCAACACAGGAATTTCCCCAGGGAGGCCCCAGAGCCTCGGGACCACTTCCCCTGGCTCTGATGGGAAGCCAGCCAGCGCACCCTCGGTGGTGGCACCGAGTCCTGGCAGGTGATTGAGTCCTTGCCCCTCCTCCAAGTCACCCCTCCTCTCTCTGGCAGGTGTTGCACCCTGGCCTGCTCTCCCAAGTGCAAATGGACCTGCTGTTGATGAAAACGGGCAGCCGAGTTCTTAGCCTTCTGCCAGGGGTCAAGTGGCTTAGCTTGCCTGAGATTGTGGAGGAATTTGAGAAGCTCATGGTCCAACAGGTGAATTCTCCTTCCCTCAGTTGCAAACAGCCCCATCATCGTTCTTGCCATTAGCAGCTGCTTCGTAAGTGCTCCATGAGTGAGCATATTCCCGTACCTCACGGCCAGTGGTGTGTTAGTCAGCGTAGGTGATGCTAGCTGATATAACAAAAACACTCAACTCTCAGCAGCTGTCTATAATTGGCCATTTAGCTAAGGGAGCTCTACTCCAGAGTAATTCAAGGCCCTAACTTCCTATTGGGTGTGGCACTGCCATGAACGTGTCATTGGGTGTCAGTGTGCACAGGGAGAAATAGCGAAGAGAATTGTTTAGGAGATTTTGTGGTCAGAGGTAGAAAGGGTGAAGTCACGTCTTCTGCCCATAGGTCAGAGCCTTATGTACATGGGCCCAGTTTAACTGCCAGGAGCTTGAGGAATAGTTTTCCTTAGCGCTTGGGAAGAGTCTGGAATGAGTCTGGTGGGCCATACTCGATGGTGGAACGTCAGGGTGAGGAGAATACTGAGTGAAGTCCTACACTGTAACTGAGGACTTACTGAGTAGACAAAGACCTCCTCCCTGTCCAGGCCTCTGGGACTCTTGAGTAGTCAGACTTGGTAAATAACATTTGGGGCGATCTGAGCCGGGTCTGCTCTAGCTCCCTGTCGGATATGCAGAAAGTGGCAGTGTTCCAGAAGCTGTGTGCCGAGTCTTCAGTTCTGTCCTCAGATTTAAGGTTTATAGTCCAGGGATGCACTTGACAAGATGGATGGCACCTTCTGTCAGCATTCAGGTGACTGGTAGCAGGTTACTTTGGGAGGAGCAGTAGGTAGGGTGGAAGTGTTTAGGGTGCAGGGTGGAGCCTCTGGGCCACAGATGGGTGTGGAGGGTAAGAGGAGTAACCTGCTGGGGCTGGCGGGTGGCTGAGCGCATTGGGGGAGAGGTGTGTGTATGATGGAAATTCCATTTAGATGTCAAGTTCAAGGGTCCCTGAGCCTCTGCCAGGCAATGTCCACACGGTGGATGTACAGGTCTGGAGCCTAGCTGGGGTGTCCGGAGTGGAGACTGTCATCAGGAGGTGCTGACCAAGGAGGCGAGGAGATGGAGGGGGAGGGAGAAAGCTAGTGAAGTCGGGGAGCCAGGTGAGCATCAGCACTTGTGGGACACATAGAACAGTGGCCCGGAGAACAGCGACGAAACAGTCTGAGGCGCAAGAACCAGGGCGAATGAGGGAGCCAAGGCCTCAGGGAGGGCCAGGTCACCACTGGCACCAGGTACCCGGGGAGGGAGTGGAGATAAAAGCAGACTGGACTTTGAGCCTGGCAGTGGCGGCTGCTGCTGGGGGTGCGTGGGGTGGAGAGCAGAGCCAACCCTGATGGAAGGGACTCGAACAGAAGGAAAAAGCTGGAGAGCAACGAGTAGCGGGAAGGGGGGCTGGTGTGAAGCGGAGGCAGGCGGAGGTGCGGGGCTTCTGGGGACCCCCTGGGAGTCGCGTGGTGGAGCTGGGGAGGCAGGTGTGTCTCCTGACTTGCCAACTCTTCGCAGCCCAGCGCCTGCGCTCTGCATGCCCACACCACCCCCCGTGCCCCCATTCCTCTGTAGATCGACCTGCGCTATGAAGCCCGGAATCTAGAACATTTCCAGTGCAACTTCCTGAACGTGAGCTCCGTCAAATTCCCCACCCCGCTGCGTCCCTTCGTCACCAGGGATGTCTTGGTGGAAACATACGAAGTGAGTCAGGCAGCTGTGCATGGCCGGCCTATCACTGTGAAACTGAGCGGAGCATGGGTGTGGCGGGAGCAGGCGAGGGAGACGTGGCCGGAGGTGGGGAGGCAACTGGGAGCTTGGACGAGGCCGTGGCTGCTAGGTTCAGAATCTGCTCCACCATTTCATTTACTGGGTGACTTCAGTTTCCTCCTGTCTAACCACGGGCAACCCCTTCTACCTCATGGGCTCGTCCCAGGAGGCAAAATGCCCTTTGCACACACAGAGTTTGCATAAAGTACACTGACAAGCGTCATTCATTGTCACCTCATTTGCCTCAGCTGTCTCTTGGTCCAGTCTCCTTTGAAAAGCTGGTCCTAGGCGGCCCAAGAAAGTGACATGAAGACCAGAAATGACGAGCTGTGTGGCCCTGAGCGGGTTACTCAAACCCTCTGGCTTTTAATTCTTTTATCTGTTGTTAGTTGGGGATAACAAGAGCTATCTCTGGGGGTTGATAGGACAATTAAGTCAGTTCACCCTTTAGAAATGTTTAGTCATCTGTCACTTAAGATGGAGACACCCTCTGGGGAATGTATTGTGGGGTGACTGTCTTGTCCACAGGCAGAGAAATCACACAAACTTGGTATTGCACCCCTATTTTCCTGCTTGAGTCCCCAGAGCTCACTCCTGTCCCCCACTAGCTGACCCTTAACCAGAAACTAGCTCCCCCGTCTCCAGCCATGGCAACTCTGGGGATGTGGGTGGGGACAGAGTCCAGGGCGTCTCCCCTACACTCCTGCGGGACTTGTTTCCTCTGGGAAGTGAAGCAGAAGGCATGTGGACATAGGATCTACTCAGTCGCGGGTGACGGATTCCTAGGAGGTTCCAAGGGACGACCAACCCCAGGTCACTTCCCAGTCGATGGGATGGTGACACCCAGTGGCCCCTGGGGAGGAAGAGCAGGGCAGGCAGCAGGTGCCGAGGTCCAACCTGTCCCCTCCTGCTCTCCCTTCAAGGAGAGCGTGCCCGTGTCCAGCTACCAGCAGGCAGGGATCCCTGATGCCTTGAAGAGGAAGATTGCGAGGCTGGGCATCAACATGCTGCTGAAGATGGTAAGCTGGGCGAGGGGTGCGCCCGGGCCCACTAGTGGCCAGAAGGCACGTGGGGCCATGGGGGTGAGGGGGCAGAAAGGCGACCCCTGTTCTGGCACGTCACGCTGAACTTGATGATGACAAGTAAATGCTCGAAAGGAGCATCTCTGTTGCTGTCGGGGGCTCCCCACTGTCGGGGGCTCCCCAGGAACTTACTGGACGCTATTTGGCATGGACCTGGGGGTGGTGGGGTGGAGAGGGCTTAGTCATGAGTGGCGCTGGTGTCTTGGCAGATATTTGTGGACAATTTCGTCCACGCGGACCTCCACCCTGGGAACATCCTGGTGCAGGGCGCTGGCGGCCCGGCCCAGAGCCAGGAGGCACGGCTGCAGCAGGTGGGCGCGGGCGACGCGCTGGGGGGGGCCGTGCCAGCCGCCCGCCTCCCACTGCGCCTGGTGCTGCTGGACGCTGGCATCGTGGCCGAGCTGCAGGCTGCTGACCTGCGGAACTTCCGGGCGGTTTTCACGGCTGTGGCCCTGGGCCAGGTGAGAATGGCTGGGCCCGGGGGTGGGACTGGACCCAGCGTTTTAGGCTCTGGGGGACTGTGTCCACTTTGTTGGGCATTGGATGAGAGACCTCCGGGGCGACAGTTGGAGGGAGAGAGGGGGAGGAAAGGAAGCCGCCCTGGGGGTCTTTGGTCAGAAGTGCCAGTTCCCAGCAGTGGGTGGCTGGTGCTTCCTTCTCCAAGGCTGTTGTGGGCTGGTGGTATCTCTGCCCCCCTGCAGCCTGAGTGTGAGGTGGGGGGGCCTCCGGGGCGGCCCGCTGCTTGACTGGATGAAGGCCTGTCCCCTCTGTGCCGACAGCTGTGGGCCAGCACCAGAGGACGTGGCCTCCAAGGGGCCTCATCAGGATCTGGTGCAGGTTTTTTTTTTTAAAGACTTATGTTTATGCATACAGAACTGGGGTACAGGCCAGAGGTGCAGGGGCAGTGAGAGGCTTCACCAGAGACAGAGTGGGGAGCAGACAGGCCGACTGACAAAGTACACTGCTGAGGGGAGCAGCGAGGGGTCAGGAGAGGTCTGCAGGGATTGAACTCATGCTGCAGTGGTTGTGGAGAGCTCCACACTATGTGCTTTAACCACTTGTGCCACCAGGGAGAGCCCTAAATAAATCTTTATAAAATAAATGAGGTACCAGATACACCATGGTGGTCACACCGTGTAGGTGTCATTACACTCTGTGATGTTTGCTCAACACCAACAACGCCATTCTGTTCACCAACACTCTCCTGTTAATCGAGTCTCTGAAAGCCTCTGGCCAGTGGCCAGGTGTTTTAGAGGAGTCACACTGCAGGACGGGCGGCCAGAAGCAGGATAACAGGAAGGCAGGGTGGAAGCAATGGCGAGATGAAGTGTGGGCAGAACAGCTATTTTTTTTTTTTTTTAAAGATTTATGTATTAGTGCATACAGAACTGGGGTACAGGCCAGAGGCTCAGGGACAGTGAGAGGCTTCACCAGAGACAGAGCGGAGAGCAGAACAGGCAGATCGACGAAGTACACTGCTGAGGGGAGCAGCGGGCAGGTCAGGAGAGGTCTGCCGCGCCATGTGGTCACCTCCGGGGCAGGCGGGAATCGAACTCATGCGGAAGTGGCTTTAGCTTCTCAGTGCTGCGCTTTAACCCGCTGCGCCACCAGGGAGGGCCCATTTTTTTTTTTAAAGATTTATTTATTTACTCTACAGAACTGGGGTACAGGCCAGAGATGCGGAGGGTGAGAGGATTCACCAGAGACAGAGTGGAGAGCAGAACAGGCAGATCTATGAAGTACACTGCTGAGGGGAGCAGCGGGCGGGTCAGGAGAGGTCTGCCGCGCCATGTGGGTCACCTCCGGGGCAGGCGGGGATCAAACTCATGCTGAAGCTGCTTTAGCTTGTCAGTGCTGAGCTTTAACGGGCTGCGCCACCAGGGAGGGCCCCAGAACAGCTATTTTATGACATCGCTCTTCTTTTGCATCCTCCAGGGGCAAAAGGTAGCCGAGCTCATCTTGCATCATGCCCGGGCCAGCGAGTGCCGGGACGTGGAGGGGTTCAAGGCCGAGATGGCCACGCTGGTGACCCAGGCCAGGAAGAACACCATCACCCTGGAAAAGGTGAGCAGCGCGTCATGGCACCAGGCCCACGGGTGCTCCCTGCACTTGACCTTCACAGAGCACCAGGTCTGAGGGAGACCTAGTTATTTACTTGTTTGTACCAATTTTATCTTAAACATTTATTTAAACAACTGTATTATTTTTGAATGGAGGTCACTTTGGGTATAACACGGCGTATCATTTAAGAGTTCAGGTGCATACCTCTTCCGATGTTTGGTACCACACCTGCCACACCTACCACCCCAGCACCCTGACCCCCCACCGCAGCCCACCGGGCCCTGCCCCACTGGGAGCTGCAGTTCTGCAGTCCAACTTCTAGGGTGTTAGGTTTGGGTTTGTCAGTTCCTTTTTTCTGTCTCTTGGATTTCCTACATGAGTGACACATGTGTGACATACTTCGTTTAGCATCCTCTAAAGGAAGCTCTCTTTATGGGGTGAGGTCTCCAGGGGGTTTGGGCTTTAAGGCAATAAAGAACGAAACTCTCCCTCCGCCTGCGTCTTCCAGGGCCGACTAGGCCTGCTGAAATCGCTGGCTCGCAAAGGTGGCACTAAACCACGTCCTCCAGGGCGGGTGGCTGGCCCTGGGGACAGTGACAGCCACAGTCCTGTGACTCCTCCTTGTCCAGCCTGTGCCTGTTCTCCTGCTTCCTCTATATCTGGAGCTCGGCCTAGCCGGGAGGGAGGACTAAGGGGCCTGAGCTGCCAGAGGACCGGCCTGTGTGGGCTGTGGGTGCTGGGGAGACGGGCCTCAGGCTTGGCCTCTTGACCCTGTGAACTCAGTCACCTTAGGAGCTGGGCTGGTGGGCGTGTGACCCTTTCTGGCGTTCGTCAGACAGTCCCTTTCCTCCCTCTCTGGCTCGTGTGTGAGAGTACTGGAGGAGAGCGTGTGAGTGTGGGAGTGAGTCAGTGTGGGAGGTGGGACCCGGTAGGGGGGAGGGGGCCTGGGAGGGAGAGATGCATCTCTGCAGCTGGCTTCTCTTTTCCAGCTTGAAGTTTCCAGTCTTCTCTCCAATGTCTTTAAATTACTGATGACTTACCAGGTGAGGCCCCAGGTGACCTGTGCTCGGTCAGACTGGCGTGCGTGGTGCGTGGGGTCTCTGGGGGAAGCCAGTAGGGTGGCCACTGGGTGTGACAGGTGCTTCTTTCTCTTACACGAGATCCCCTTGCAAACATTTCTGGTGCCTGTCTATTTGCACCACACAGGGACAGCAGAGTCCCTCTGTCATAGTTACCTCATGTTTCTGTCAGTCCATGGACTGGACACACCTGTGCTACCCAGCTGTAGAAAAATGCATTTGCCAGTGGAACAGCAGCTGAATGCAGGCTTTGCAGGCCTTTCCGCTCCTCAGTCCATGTTAGGAATATTTGGTCTGATGTTAGCTCTTTCCTGAGTGGCTGAACGTCCAGGGGTGGGGGGCTACCTGCGAGGTGCCTCTTGTCCTACTGTGTCCAGAGGCCCCATCCAGGCTGCCCTCATATCCATGCCCCTGTCTCCTGTTGGTGAATGGAGCACGGTGGGGCATGCAGGGTGGGAGGCCGGAGGGAGACCCCTGTCTGAGGGTGGCTGCGCCCCCATTCCTCCTGAGGTGCTGCAGTCGCTGATGAAACAGGGCACGGGAAAGGCAGCCATTCGGCAAGCAGTCAGCCCAGTGCCGGCTCCTTTCAAAAGGGGCAGCGGAGACGGGAGCGGCTCCACTATTGGGGCTCATAGGAAGAGCATGGGGGGGACACGCTAGCAGGTGCTGGGGACAGCGTGTGCTGGGGACAGACACCCAAAGGGGTCCTGGTGCAAGCTGTGGACGCGTGATGGTGATGACGGGGCGTCAGCCAGCACCTGCCCCCAGGAGGCTGCCCGCCTGGGAGGATGGTAAAAGCCACACAGGCAGCTACAAGAGGCCGGGGGCAGAGGCCTGGTTGGCCAGGCACCCTATGCCCGTGGCCATGGGAAAGAACCAGTTTTTCCCTTTCAGGTAAAGCTTGAGAGCAATTTTGCCTCAATTGTGTTTGCCATCATGGTGTTGGAGGGGCTTGGCCGCTCCCTGGACCCCAAACTGGACATCCTGGATGCAGCAAAGCCCTTCCTTCTTAAAGGCCCAGTGTCCTTCCCCTGACCACAGCAGCCCATCTTCCTCACCTCACGGAGCTGAAGCCTCTTCCACAGCAGCACGGACATTTTAAAATCGGGAGGTGTGGAGGGCACACTCCTGCTTTACACCGGTTTGGTGTCAGGCGTCTGTGCTAAGAAGTCTGCGTGCGTTATTTGGGATGTAAAGGGAGGGAAAAGCGCTTTGCTGTTCTGGAAGCTGGGCCTGCAGTCTATTTCAGGGAGAGTGTTCTGTGAGAAGGAGAAATAAACTTAGTTATTTTGTTTCCTTGTTTTTCTCTCTTCCTAGTCCCCAGTCCTGAGACGGCCCCACGCTCTGCTATTTAGGTTAGAAAATGCCACGGGATCTTGCTGACCAGTGGCTTCTAAATGTCTGATTACGTACCCTACTAGTAAAAAATGGAATATATTTATATCCACACATACACAATTTATAAGTCTTACCCCATGCTACCACCACTAGCAAATCTCGAGGCACAATGTATGCCTAGGGCGAATTTCACCATACTTTCAAATCATCTCTGCTAATTTTTAATGTTTTGGTCGACTTACTACGTCTTACTACAAGATAACACACACGACTCATGTGCTGACACAGCAGAGGTGGGAGCAGCATCGGCTCCGACGTTGATAACAAGAGTATCTGGGTTCAGGCTCCTGGGGTGATGCTGACACCTCCCGTCCCTGTACTCACAGCATGTGGAAGCCCCTGGCTGCCGGTTGGAAAGATCAAGCTCAAGTCTGCGGAAACAAGGTTGAAGACAACTGCGAGCTCCCGCGTGAGCCTCTCGACGGCCTGGGAAGAACACCGGCTCAGCAGGGCCGGGCAGCCTCAAGGGGCCACGGTTGATTCAGGACGAGCAGGAGGAATGGCAGGCGCAGGTGGAGAAACACGGTCCAGAGCGAGCTCGGCCCCGGCGTCACGCTGCTCCCGCTCAGGAGCACACCCACGCGCTCCCGCGGCGGGACCCCGCCCCGCCCCCGGGACACGCCCATCCCGGGGCGGGGCGCGAGGCTCCGCCCACCCGAGCGGGCCGGGGCGTCACTTGGCAACGCCTGAGCCGCCACTACTGGCCGTGCACAGGGCGCGTCCTCTTCGTCTAAGTCACAGCTCGGTGCGGACGGCGCTCCCGGAGAGGGCCCCGGCGGCCGTCACGGAGGGAAGGGGCGGAAGTGCTAACCCGAAACGGGAACGGCTGTCTCCGCCCTGCAGAGGGTCACCCTGGGGGAAGTGGACGGGGCGACACCACTGACGCCACGGGGCGGGGCGCCGCGGGAAGTGACGTGCAGCGGGGCGGCCTGGGAAGGCGGTCGGGACGTGAGCTAGCATGTCGGCTCTGACGCGGTGCGCGCCGTTCGTTCGCGCGGGAGGCCACCTCTTCAGAGGCCTCCGCGCGCGCGAGGCCGGAGGCGGTGGAGTTCGTCAGTGAGTGTCGGCTCGGGGTGGGAGCTTCGCCTGTTTTTAACGGGAAGCGCCGGTCTCCGGGACACCCTCACCTTGACGCCGGGCACCGGGGCGGCCTCGTCCCCGAGGCATGCTGGGACTTGTAGTTCGGCCGCACGTGGGGGCGGGGCGGTAGTCCGGCTGTGAGACCTGCGGCTTGGCCCAGCCCCCTGCGGCGGCAGGCTGTGCTCTGCATATCCTCAGTTGCAGGTGCAGGTGTAGGGCTGCAGGAGTACTGGTGGTGGGCGAGCCAGTAGGGTGAGGGTGGAGACGACCCAGGATTAAATTAGGGGGGGGCGTCGGAGAAGGTTGTATTCTTAGAACGTGGTGAGCTATTGGAGGCGTTGAATGATCAGAATAATGTGATCTGGTTTATGGATTAAACATGTAACTTCCACAGAGAGCTATGAAGTCTTGTTTTGAACAGCCAGTGTTTCTTTGGATTCTGTATATCGGTTTTCTCATCCTTCTGACCTCTTTCCATATTCACCGTGTCTAGTCTAGGCATTAATCATTTAAAAAAAAAAAAAGATTTAGTTATGCAAACAAGAACTGGGATGTAGGCCAGGGTTGAGAGGACTCACCAGACAGTGGGGCACAGAACAGCAGATTTCATGAAGCACACTGCTGAGGGGAGCAGCGGGTGGTCAGGAGAGGTCTGCCGCCCTGTGGGTCACTCCCTGGCAGGGATCCGACTCCTTTGCAGTGACTGCCAATAGCTTCATAATACTGAGACTTACCCCCCTGCCCCACCGAGATGGCACAGGCTTTAATCATTTTATTGAAAATGATTACATCTGTTTTTTCTAGAAATTACCTGTTTTCCCCCCTAAACCTACTTCTTCATAGTTTTGGTACCTTCTATTAATTTCGGCTTTGTTTATCTAAAATAGCATTTTGTTTTCTACATTATAAGTTGTAATTATTCGTTTGTCAAGTCTTGTGATTTGCTACTACTATTACTTTTTTTTTTAGTTTCAGGTGTACTTATTTCCTTTATAATGCCGTGTTTTAATAGCTACAGTGTTTTTACTTGGCTTCAGTTATGAGTTGCCTTTTTAAAATAACTTATGCATAGAAGAACTGGGGGATAGGCCAGAGGTGCAGGGGTGGGAGGTGAGAGGTTCAGCAGAGACAGAGTGGGGAGAACAGGCGGATCCACTGAAACAGACTGCTGAGGGGAGCAGCGGGTGAGACAGGAGAGGTCCTCTGTGCAGTGCTGGTAGCTCCCTGGCCAGGGGTTGAACTCCTGCTGCAGTGGTATTTATTCCTGTGCTGCCCAAAAGAAAATGTTGTTTTATAAACTGATTCTGACCTGGACTGACACTTGTGGACGTGTTTCAAGAGGAATTTGCTATAAATTTCTGTATCCATTTCTGTGTCTAACATTTGTTCACTGGCTGAATAGGATTTGACAGTAGCCCCATTAATACAAATTGGTATCGTTTAAATTAGATGCAGCCTATGACAATGAGTAACTAAATAAAATGCCTGTGGCCCTGTGGACTGTATCCTCAGCTCTGGGCAGTGTCTGAAGGAACAAGCAGCCGTTGCTCAGAGTGACTGTCAATAGCTTATTAAAAGGATTTGCTGAGGCCTCTTCCCCATATAACTGTCTTCTACTAAAGACTAGTAGAGCAAAGGACATCATTTGCCTTCAAAATAGATGGTTAAACAGAACGCAGTTCGCTGTTTTTTTCTGGACAGGCTAGCGACCTGCTGCTGTAAGCCCTCAAGCCTGTAAGCACAATCTCCTTGGGGGGGCCAGCACCCCTTTATCCACACTCATAACTCTGGTGAAAAATATGCGTATTTCTAATTAAAATTCACAAGTAGCCTCTTGTCCATTCAGTTTCTTTGCTGCTATACGAGTTTAAAATGTGCTTATGAAAACCAGTACTTTCGAGGGACTGTGGAGCACTGCCATGCTGTGTTTCGTGGAGATGAGAAGTACTGGGTTTGGCCTCTGGCTGTAACTCAGAGTTTTGGAGGGTCCGCGCGAGGCTGGCGCCGCCTCAGGTCTCCCTTTCGTCCACAGCGCCGGTGGCGGTGCGCACATCGAGCCCAGGTACAGACAGTTTCCCCAGCTGACCAGGTTCCAGGTGATCCAGGCCGAATTCTTCAGCGCTACCATGTGGTTCTGGATTCTCTGGCGCTTTTGGCATGACTCGGATGCTGTGCTGGTGAGCACCGCGAAGCGCGTCCTTTGGGCGTGGGAGGGAAGACCTAGCGAGAGCTTTCGGATAGACGCCTGTGGGCCTGTGACTGTATCCTCAGCTCTGGACAGTGCCTGGGCGTCCTTGCCGGGGTGTGCCCCGGCCTCTCCTCCCCGTGTAGGTGGGCCCCGTCGTATGGTTTCCCTTAGGTTGCCTTTTTTGGGAAGGGAAATTAGAAGTAATTCTCTACCTTCCGCATGAGGGTGCTGGTCAGTGGGTGGAGCTTCACATTGAGATCCCTGTGAAGGATAAATGTTGCCTCATCATCCAGAGGCCTGAGGTGGCCAAGTTGAGTGGGACAGTTTGTCTCGGGGAAGAAAGTTCATTCCCGGTGATTTTCTAAGATGTCATTAGCCTCCACTCAGCTTTTACCAATATTTGCACAGATTCAGCTCTGTGCATGTTGATCCAGAATACTTTGATTTTAATAAATTTGGTGTTTTAGGAAAGTAATCTTCCATGTAACAGCGCACAAATGTTAGAAGCTTCAGGTGGAACACTGTTCCGTTCCTCTCCCAACTTCCGTACCCCCGTCACCCAGTGAGGAGCTGCTAGGATGTGAATGGGCCCATAGATGTCACTGACTTGCGGCCGGGCAGCGGTCATGGGGTACACAGTAATGCAGCTAGATTCACCCCAGATCGGGATCGAAGATCGTCTCCCTGAGGCCCAATTTCTCAGCAGGAGTGAGAGAACTGTTTGAATTCCTTAGCCTGCATCACAGACTGATTCAAAGGCTGACTCTGCTGGCAGCTCCCAAAATGGGCCACTGCAGCCTGAAGTGAACAGGCTGAAGGACGGCTGAAGCGTCCAGCCGTGAAAGAAGGAGCAGACTGTCCCCGTGGCGTCAGGGGCGGTGTGTGACCGTCGGCCCTGAAGTGTTTTTGCCTTTCCAGGATTCTTTTTAGCAGTAACTTGTTATGCTGGAGTATAAACTGTTGACTTCTTTTAAATTGTTGTCCCCAGGGTCACTTTGCATATCCAGATCCTTCTCAGTGGACAGATGAAGAATTAGGTATCCTGCCTGATGATGAGGACTAAAGGTGGCATTCAGCACTTTACGCGGTATGCCCCGGCGTCTTTCTGTTTTCATAGTTACCTACCTTTGTTAGTGAACATGTTTGACCTTGTGCCTGTGGCCTGGAAGAAGCTGCATTTCCCATCAGCATGAACAGTTAACTGTATGCTGTGTCCGGTTCCCACGTTTACTTGTCCCACGTATGCCATCTTCCTCCCTTCTCCCTTTGTCCTTCCATACAGGGGAAATTGTGGGCTTTTTAAAAATTCTTCTTCTTTAGTTATGTTACCATTTAGGGTTCCATTGTCCATCCATTGCCCAGCCCTGCACGGGGGTTACGCTGGTGGACAGGGCAGGTGGCGTACCTGTGCGTGTGTCCATAGTGGGCTCTGCGCTCATTGTTGAAGGGGGGTGTTCCAGCATGGGGTTTGCTGTGGTAGGAGGTTGTATGCAGAGGTGCGTAGCAGGTGTTTGGGCCCTTCCATCTTCCAGATTAGGAAGTCAGTTTTTCTTTCTTTCAGAAGGAAGACATTAGGAGGAGTCCCTTTCCCCCCAAAGTTCCCCAGGAGCTGAGACATTCTCCTGTTACCTGCATGCTGGGAACTGCCAGCATTCAATGCCTTGGGGACTCTGTAGAGGGTAGAAAGCACTAAATGATAGTTAAGACTTACCATGAAGTCATACTATTAGTATTGCCATTTTAATTTTAGTGAAAAGTAGCTTAGTGGCATGAAAGTTAGTTCTGGGGTCTGCAGGGGAATGGACAGAAACATCAGCAGAGGGCAGCAGGTAAGCTGTTTGCAGCTTGTACTGTGGCGCTGGCTTTACTGTGGTCAGTAAAGGCCGCCTGCCCCCCCCCCCACCCGTCCTCCCTGGCGCTGACACGTCCCAGCACTGACTCCCTGTCCCTGCAGGCCCCCTGCTCCCACGCAGTCTCGAGCATTTTGCTTAATGACTGGACTGGAAACCCTTTGAGAGAAGCCAGGTGATTTGCTGCTCTTTTCTGGAAGGCCGCTCCCGCTTGCTTGGGGAACACCTGAGTAGACGAGAGTTACACTTTGGAAATATTGAAGATAAAAGTACTTTAAAACTTTCCACTTTTGTTTCCCTGCAGGGGCCAGGTGAGAAATGGAAGAAATTACGGACTACGTATTGTACAATAAAGATGTGAATTAAAGTGGTTTGGTCAAGAATGCGGAGCTGAGTTTTTTGGGTGTTTCTGATAGTTGACAGCCACCCTGTGGATTTTCTATGCACTACCCACTGCTGTGCAGGCTGGTTACAGCCCTTCCAGCGGATCCTTCTGGGCACCCAGGGCATTGGCATTAGCTCCCTTTACCAGCAAGCATGTCGAGGCCTAAGAAGCTGGTGTGACGTGCTTAGAGGTGCACTGCTGAGTGGCCATCTCAGGTGACCCTGAAGCCTGTACTGCGCTGTGCTGCTGCCGGCCTGAGCTTAGGTCTCAGTCACATTGGACAGTAAATGCGAAAGCCCTTGTCATCAGTCTCTACTTCTAGAGGATTCATACTGAATATTGAAGGAATAGCAGGTCAGAGGGGTTTTAGCAGGTGAGGTGAGGTGGGGACCAGGTGAGGGAAAGTCTGTGATGCAGGTGCAAATTTTATGTCATGTGCAGTGACCACCTGTGGCAGGTCTAAGCAAGGGGTGATCTCCCCAGACTCCTCTCGCATGGCCGCCCAGCCGTCCTGTGCCTGCTGCAGGGTGCTGTGGTCTGCCCCTGCTCTGCTTGCCTGTGCGAGAGCCAGCGTCTGAGCCCAAAAATACTTAAAGCTTAGTTTTGTTTTTTTTTTTAAGATTTTATTTATTTGTGCATACAGAACTGGGGTACAGGCCAGAGGCTTAGGGCGGTGAGAGGCTTCACCAGAGACAGAGCTGGGAGCAGAACAGGCAGATCGATTAAGTACACTGCTGAGGGGAGCAGTGGGCGGGTCAGGAGAGGTCTGCTGCGCCCTGTGGTCACCTCCTGGGCAGGTGGGAATTGAACTCATGCGGAGGCGGCTTTAGTTTCTCAGTGCTGTGCTTTAACCCGCTGCGCCACCAGGGGGGGCCCACTTAAAGCTTAGTTTTTAAAGCTCTTTACTTTTAAAAGACCATCATTGTACATTTTAGATTTCCCTTTTGTTATCCTCCCACTCCGTATCAACAGAGTTTGGGACTAGAATACAATCTGTAACTGAACTTAAGTGGGATAAGCTTATCTCCTCCCCAGAAATCAGCTGCTGGACTTGAATGACAACAGCACCTTGGACTCAGCAGTGGGTCCTCACGAACTGGACCCCCTTTTCCATACTTCTGCCATGAAAGCAGTTTGAACGGGTGCAGGGACTGTCACCAGCCTTCTCAAAGAAATAGTGCCCCTGCTGGACGACTTATGGGGAAGTACCCAGGAGATGTTGAGGACATCTGCTTCCGTGAAGACCTCAAACTGGCTGTAGTCAGGCGTGGTTTAGACGCCCAATGAGTGGGCCTTGGCCTGGCTCTCCTGCTTGAAGGCAGCAGGGGCAAGTGACACCTGCCAGGCATGTTTCTAGCTATGGACTGCCATCGAGTTGGCACCCATTTGTTTCTAAATTTCATTGCAGCTTTTGGCACAGCCCAGTTTTTTTTGTTGTAGATTTATTTATGCATACAGAACTGGGGTACAGGCCAGAGGTGCAGGGGCTGTGAGAGGCTTCACCCGAGACAGAGTGGGGAGCAGAACAGGCAGAGTGACTGAAATACACTGCTGAGGGGAGCAGCGGGGAGACAGGAGAGGTCTGCCGCGCCATGTGGATCACCTCCGGGGCGGGGCCAGGGGTCGAACTCATGCCACAGTGGCTGTGGCTGTGGAGACCTTCGCAATGCTCTTCTTTAACCTGTTGCGCCACCAGGGAGAGCCACAGCCCAGTTTTATATATGTACATAAAAGCACATTACTGACCTTGGGAACCAGAGTCGTGCCCACATGAGCTGGGAAGTCGTCCTTGGGGTTCATACTGAGTACCTGGTTCGGGGAAGCCGCAGAACCGAGGAGACTGCCACAGGGTCCGGCTGGCACCGCCCTGCTGGGTTTCTGTGGTGTCCTCTTGTAGGTTACTCACGGCAGGTTTCATCACAGAGAAGTCATATTCCTGGGTTAGACTCCCACTGGGTACTTACATTGTTCTTTGAGTAGCAGTGGGAATTCAAATACGCTTAAAAAGATAAGCCTCGGTATTTTGTTTTAATGTCTTAAGAATATTTTGAAAACGAATACAGCGTTACACAATTACGTTTCTCAGATGAGACGACTGCAGTCAGAAATGCCTGTCCCAATAGCACTTAGGGTACAAAGAGCAGAAACCATACTAACGTTCGTGCCATTCTTCCTTAATTTTTGCATGTAAGAACTGGGTGTGGGTCAGAGGTGCAGAGATGGGGGAGGGGTGACAGACAGTGGGGAGCAGAACAGGTAGATCCACTGAAACACACTGCTGAGGGGAGCAGCTGGCCGGACAGGAGAGGTCTGCCTCACCATGTGGGTCAGCTCCCTGGCCAGGGATGGAACTCGTGCTACAGTGGCTGCCTATAGCTTCATAGTGCCGATCCTTAACCCTTTGTGCCACTAGGGAGTCCCATTTTTCTGTTCTTTCATATTCTGAGACCGCATTTCCCAGTAAAATTTTAATACTGTTTACCTATTTTGGGAAATTTGTCCAGTAACTTGAAATCATCTATAGAGATATTCTGGGTGTCTTTTACACACAAACCCAACAAAATTAACTCTGGGTTAACCTGCATTTAAAAAATAAAGTTGCAAGCATAACGGCATAGTTTCAGATATAGTTGTGTCCCTACAGAAAATGTGTTGGAGGTTGTCAAACAAGTGTGAAGGAAATGAAACTATGAGGCACTACATACAAACTTCCTTGATGACTCCATGTAACACATGTGCCACCTGAGCCCGGGAGGGGGTGTCTGGTGATAGACAGCCTGTGTGATACTTGAGGAGCATCCCCCCCCCATCCAGAGAACAGACTGTCACCACTAAGACTATAGCAGTCACCTGGACAACCTCCCTCAAAAACATTTCTCATATAGCAACGTCTACCCTCCATGTAGTCACTGATATGCAGGAAGCAAAATGTAGGTGTCTCAGCCCCTTCAGTGCCTGGAAGATCTGTCAGAGTGCTCACTCGGCTGCTGAGGCAGTGCGAGAAAGAGTCTCGATAACGCTTCTCCATGCAGTCAGTCTTTATTATAGCAGTTTTTGCATATTCACATCAAGTACATAGAACTTTGCCTTTTATATGATACAGAGTTTTTAAATAACTTTACACAGAAATAAATTTCTTCAATCTGAATTTCAGCTATCTGTTTTAAAATTTAATTCTCCATGCTTTCTATCCAAACTGAACAATATTTTCCATTGTACAAATTTACATGAGAAAAACTCCAAAGTACAAATGAAGGGACCTGAGCAGGAAAGAGAACCAAAGTATCCAGAAGTAGGTATGGGGAAGAAGTTCTTAAAAAAAAAAGGGGGGGGGGGCAGATTCAAGCAAACATTGAGGATTAAGGGAAAAGAGAGACATCATCCATTTGACTGAAAATAAATTTTTTAATGAATTGAAAAATAAGCTTTAAAAATAGTTACTTCATTATAATTTTTGCAAAGCAGGTACAGAGAGGTCTGTGGACAGTTAAAAAGCCCCCATCTTTTCACTGGGCACACCCCAGACCTTTTCAACGCTTGAGTGGAACGGAAGCGAACCAAGTCCTAACTTTTGGCAGAGAGAGGAGGGATGCACGGAACGGCGCGAGGTCCGGCGCGAAAACCCGAGGCCAGCATTCACCGCAGTCACAACGGGATTTCCCTTCCTCTCCCTTACAGGAGAGCTGTCCTTAAACCAAGAAGTAAATGAAGAGGGGGGTGATTTCCCTTTTTGGCCTGAATCAAAAAACAGCGATGACCAGAACAGAGCTCCAACGCCCGCCAGCTGCCCGCCAGGAAGGGTCAGCTCAGGGTCACCCACCCACCCACCGAGAGCCCCGCACTCCGCGCCACGGAGGCCCTGCAGGCGGACACGCCGAGGTCAAACTGACCATCCCTCGAGCTCTGGCCGAAGGAAACGAGGCCCAATAAATGCAACTTCGGCTGCACGGGAAGGGCACGGCCCGCGCGCGCGCACAGCCCTGTATGTAAACTAGAAGTACATGAAGATTCACGACAAAGATTAGCCACTCGAGTTGGTGAGGAACAGGAATAAAAGGCATTACATGTTTAGATAGCTGGTTTTCCTCAGCTACGGCACACACACAAATGTGGTAGGAATGATTTTTTAAAAAACCGTTCACAGCTTAGAATGAAAAGCTCACTATTGCACGCTTACATTTTCAGGTAATGGGTTTTTCCTCCTCTCACGGCAAGTTTCCCCAACCCTCCGATGTAGTCCCACACCCTCCCCCTCCCATTTGGTCCATTCTCTCTCCACTTGAGCCCAGTCTGAGGTTCGGTGCTCACACGAGTCCAGGGTTCCTCGTTTGTAACTCACACGTCAAAATACGCAGGTTGGAAGAGACTTAACACCGACGCCACAATCATTTTCAGAACAAACCCGGTACTAAGCAGCTTGCTTAGTCCCTCTCCCCACCCCCCTCCTACTAAGTGACTTCCCACCTGATTCCTACACTGAAATCTAACAGAATGGGTCACTCCTGTGCGGACGATCTACTCGGCCTGATGGGAGAAGCGAATGGTTTGCAGACATATTTTCTGGATTTTAACGTGAGTAAACACTTGAGTCCTCTGTTTTTAAAGAGTACTTCACTCCACAGACCCCTTTAACGTAGATGCATCACGGCACTGGCTGCACTGGCTGTGTCTTGTGCACCATGGCCAGACGCTGTGATCGCCACCACTGGCCACGACAGCTGAACGAAATTTCATTTTATGGGAAATGATCTAGTAATTAAAACAAGTTATGGAGATTGAAATAAAAATATTTCCTTAATCATTTTGAGACTGACTCTCCCTATGTGTTTTTAAGTAATGCACAGCCAACCTTAAAAATACCTGAAACTGCTAAACCCCCCCCCCCCACTCCACGTGACAAATTTAGGACTGAACTTCAATTTAAGTCTCTTTGCCCAAGTAGAAGCGAAAACAGGTTTCTGAGAACAGCGCAAAGCTTCCTGTCTAGTGGACTGATCAAGCAAGCCTCCGCAGTATTTTCATTCACCGGAGCTAGCAACCGAGAACAGGAATGCACTGGGAACACCCTTCTCCGGCCACAGCACACCAGCAGACGCCCTGCACGTCTGGGGTCCAGCCTAGTGCAGTTAGCAGCGTGCTTTCAGGGAAATCTGGAAACTCCTCGAGGACAGTCCTCTGGCTTTCTTGGGGGTGTCCAGGAACTAAAGGAGACACAGGCACTCACAGTGCCCAATCCACACCTGCTGGCAGCTCATTATTCCAGTGCCCCCTCATTAATGAGCTCCACTGGCCCCAAAGCTCCCCAACAACATTAGCAGCACAGTCCTGCTTAATTTGCAAACAGGTCCTGGGAGGCAAGTGGACATGAAGTTTCAAACTCTGAAAAGCCAGTCTAGGCAGCAGTCCTCTGGGAACCGCAAATCAAACCCTGTCTGAGCTGTTATTTTCCTCTTTCTCAGCTATTGTGACTGCTGCCCAGCATACAGTACTTCAACCCTAACCTACAGCAATCTCTCAAAATGTGTCAAACATTTCTGTTATATAAAAGTTCCATGCTGTGAAGAACCTATGGGAGTAGAAAAAGCTTCCCTAGAAATGTTTCTGAACTCTAATTTCAACCTAGTTGCTCTATGTGATAAATATATCTGACTATGCTAGGGATTATGTGCTTTAAAAAAATAATTTTGTTCACTGAAAATTTACCTGTGTGTTCTCATTTTTTAAATGTGATTTTGGCTATAAACTCTTTAGTGCATTATCTTTGCTGTCTAAATTGCACTCTAGAAAATATTAACACAGCTGAGTTAGACCAGAGTGGTTGCTCTCTTCACAAATCACTGATTTCTGCTATAATTTTAGCTTTTTTTTTTATTGCATCGTGAAGGCACAGTATAATCATTTGGCAAATTGTCGAGGTGTTTTTCTCGAGCCTCACCTACACCACTTCCGGGTAAGAACCATCAGCTGTTTCTGCTCAGGTTCATAGACCTTCCTTTATTTTATTTTTTAAAATAACCTAAAGGTTTGGAATTTGCCAGTGTCAAGGTGCTGATATTCTAGCACTGACAACGCCAACTTAATATGGACAAAGAACCTTGCAAAATAGTGATCACACTCCCCTTGTCGCTGGGCAGTCTCTCTAGGAGTTTCTGTGCACGTGACAAGGCTGGGAGGGGGCTCATCGTGAAGATGGCTATCGTGTGAAGCTACTGAAGATTGAAATGTAGCACTGTCAGTGAAGTGATACCACAGCTATTTAATTTCGTGTAACTGACAAGGTTAAGATTCTGGAACGGACCCCTCAACAGATTCTGGCACCGCTTTCAGACATTCGGATACGCTGAGCTACATTTTTCAGCACTGCTGCTTAAATGTTTAATGCCCTTTGGGACAAAATGAGAGCGCCCAAACACAAGAACACATAAAGAAAGAACTTAAACCATCTTCATGTTCCAGAGCTCCTGACTTTTTTCATATTTTAAAATAAATAACTTACTCATTACCTCATTCTGAGGAGGTAGTTTTTTGAAGAGGTCACCTGAACCCCACAATGTGTTTCAAACTAAAGCTAGATGAGGTTTTGCAGGAGGCTGGAAAGGTGAGTGTCCAGGAGGGGCAGTCTGAGGAGGGGCATGTGGCCATCCGGCCCCTGCCTGATGAATCAGAGAACATCATACGATAAAGAGCTCTAATGGCACCACACAAAAATCTAGTCAATATTTACAAAGCTTCTGGTTGACAGTGTTGAAGTCTTGAATTCTTTCTAACTGTATAATGCTCTCTCTTCTGCAACACCAATATAAATCTCATACTTCATATTTTATCTCCTGGGATGCCCCACTCTGCCACCAAATTGCAATACACTCAGGGACTCAAAGTCCAAGACCCAGACTTTGACAGCTAAACCTTCTTTTAAGGTGCAAAGTTGTACATACGATCGCACTGAATTTCCTATTCACAAATCCCTTTTATAAACTACCTTTTGGTCACGATTCTGTGGCAGTCTTGACACCAACTCTATTTCTATGATGAAAAAGTCCATCAGGAATACTACATGTTTAGAAACAATTCTTTATGCTTACTCTTTTTCAGAAGGCTTCACCTCTCCTTGCCCCAGCTAAAATATACGACAGAAGGCACTGCAGCCGTTTCACAGAAAAGACAGATACTCCAGCCTACAAAGTAACCGGTAAGCAGCCACATACTATCTATACAATTACTTGTAAAGTGCTTTGCACAGACAAGGAGTTCTTCCTTGTATCTTCTTAGGAGCTCGAGAAGTCATTTTCTAAGCATCAAAGAAAAAAAGCAAATAAAACAGAGAAAACCCTTTTTTCAATCTGTAAACTTTCATGGAAAAAAAAAAAGGGAATGAAGAAAAATTTTTATTTGTAAGGGCGCTATAAAAATCCCTGGTCTCCTGAGACTAACTTTACTATCAAGTCTGTTTTCCTTTTTCAAATGAGGAAGCGGGGGAAAAACGAGCCTCCCTTGAGCTGGGCTCTGGACAGTCCCGCACCACGCTTCCTCGCAACTAGCTCCTGTCTGCGGCGGCCCTGCCCGGCTCCCACAGCGCCCCGGCACTCACAGGGCCTGCTAACGGTCAAGCCCAGAGCTCCCCAAATCTTGGTAGAGGGTACAGTTATGTCTAAAAGCCTCTGGGGACAGATTACAAAAGGAAAACAGACCACCCAGCCCTCGAGAGGCCCTTCTAGTCAGCACCAGTTTCCTCCTCCCAGGGTCTGAGCTGTCTAAGCTACTGCCAGAAGGACCCATTGCCCTTCCAACATGGTCAGTCATAACTCCAGGATATTTTCCATTTTACTGGGACAACCTTTGACAAGTCTGCAGGATCTCCAAAAGGTCTTCCTCTGAAAGCATATTCCAGCAAAAACCCGTCTGGTGGCAGTGAGCTTTAGCAGACTAAAATACAGAGGGGCATGTTGCATTTGGAATTTTTAAGTAACTGTTTTTAATTCCCTGGTTCATGTTACAGGCCCTGTCTGATTTCTTACAGCAGGTCTTGGCTATATAGCTTGGTTGGGCTAAAGTACAATTGATTTGATTTACATTCCTAAGTCCTGACTGGGGATTCCAGACTCATGGTATCAGAGGTATTTGCCAGTTACATCCAGAGTCACTTTTCACTGCTGCCACCGCCTGCACGGTCAGTAAAGGCCAAAGCCAGGACTAGGTTATAATTCCTTTCATGCAAAGACAGAGCATGAGCTTTCTCTTAAATACCACAGCAGATCTTGCTACAAACAACTGACGGCTGGCTTCACACATCCTCCCTCAGTCCAGATACACCTACAGTCGCTCTAGTCTTGGCCCGGGGAACCCTGCTGCCATATAACCCAACCTTTTGAAGACCAGGCTTGGGAAAAAAGGAAGAAGGAGAATGAATGGAGACACCACCAATTTTATTTTAGGTTGCATATTCTAGATAAAAGACTAGAAAGAGGATGTAGAATGTAGTGTAGGAGTAAATTGGAAGAAAAAATGAGATATTAGCAAAGATGTTAGTGTGGATCCAGCAAGTACCATTAATTTAAAAATTATAAATATTTGTCATTATGCTAAGACTCCCCATATTTAGATAGAGAAAAGGATAATGATTTTTCTTTAAAAGTTGTTTCTATAACAAAAATACAATTTTCCAGGATATATAATTCTGGTGGGAAGTATTATTTTATTCCAATTCAATTAAATCTGAAAATTATTTTCTTTTTAATAAAAATATAATAGAAGAAACTTGGAAATTAAAACTTGTACCTTACATTTAAATTACATAAATGTCTCACATTCAAAACTGTAATCAAACAGTTTTGTAGGCTTTAAATTAGAGAATGCCAGCGCATTTTGTGCCCTGGGCAAAGTAGCCACAGAAGTACTTGGTGACTGGAAGAGCTTAGGAGGAAGATATCAACTGTATTTCCTGAGAACTTGCTACATTGTGGAGGAGAAAGATCCCAAACACTTGTCTTCATTGCTGGACCCATGAGGAAAGAAGGCACACGTGCACCTCTTTCCCGCCCAGGTGGTTAGGCAGACACCCTCAGCGAGAAGGAAACAAAAGGCCAGAAACCCAGAAGGTCAGGAAAAAGATGCAGCATTCCCTTTTCCTCTACCCCAAATGACCTCCTCACCGCTCATCCTCCATTGAGACAGAATAGTTTCATCTGTAAGAGCTGTCGAGGACTGTGCATGCGCCACCCTGAAAGGGCATGCTGCATTTTTGTTCCATCCCTCAGAAAGGAACCGGTGGTGGCTAGGGGAAAGAGCTCCGCAACAAAAATCCCAGAACCGGAAAGAGAACGATGCTTGGTGATTGCAACTGCCCCATCAGATGGTCAGCCACACATTGACCTGGCGGTTAGAAGGGCAAGGTTGACTGGCAGGCTTTCCAGAGCAAATCTCCCAAGCTGTAGCAGCAGGTTCTTTCCATCATGCCTGACCATCAAAAGGTCAGAACTCAGGGTCTCTCCTCTTTCTTCCTGGGAGTGGGCAGACTTGGGTGCACGTGGTATTTGTGATGAAGAAGAAACACTGGCAGCAGAGAATTCTGGTTCCTAAGACACATTCTTCCCTCTTTTGTTGGGTGGAAAAAAACTTCCATTCTGGTCCATACCAGCTTATGCATTGAAAAATTCTGTATCTTTAAAAAAAGATTTGAGGAACAGAACTGTGTTTTGATGTTAACAAATTGTACGAACACAAGACTTAAGAAATAAAGAGTAGACGCTGCCATGATGGTGTGGCTACTTGAAGGCTGCAAATTCTCCTGTAGAGGGAGGACAAGAGCTAATTTTAAAAAAGACATCTCAAATAATCTAGAGACACAGAAAAGCCTCATGAAACCTCATTGAAAGGTGACGAGCTACATATTATAAGTATAGCAATATTATCGCTGATTTAAAGGCAAAAATGGCTGGAGCCCATGAAAGAAGAAAACTTTTGTAGGATATAGAATGTGATTCAGTTATAGCCATTAAATATCAAGCCTGCTGAGCTTTTCCCTGTTGCTCTAATCAAGGTGCAAACAGTGCCAAGAAGAAAATTGTTCAGAAGCAGAATATAAGTTAGTAAGGTTGATTTGTAGAACACTTTCTGCCTGAATTGTCAACTCATTTTCATTGTTAAAATGCCACCATTGGGAAGGAAGAAGCAGGAATGATCCTCATTTTGTAAAAAAAAAAAAAGTTTGTCCATAATATACACTTGACAGAAAGAAAATCCAAACCTTCCATTTTCTAGTTCATGCCACTATTTAAGCCATCAAAATCACTGAACTTAGCACAGGAAAATTCTTTAAACTACAAAATCTTTTGAGGTAATGCCTTACTCCCTTTCCTTACTGACTTTGGGGGTTTTGTGTCGTTATTTTTCATCTACTATTTTGCCTATGGTTTCAACTAAAGGTAACTATGGTTACAGCTAAAGGTAAATTCCTCTTGTATACAACACAGCTAGTTCCTGGGGGTTGGTTAAGTGATTAACTAACAGAACTTAGTGAGCTTTAACATAATTTTTCAGTAACAGAAACTTCATTTCCCCCAATACACTATTTAAGTAATCTAGGAGTAACTTGATCACACAGCTAGAAAACTGCAGCACTCTATGCAAGCCAGGTGCGACTTCCAAGTCCAGGGTCTTAACAATTAACAAGTCCCTCAACAATTTTGGATAATTAATCATTTGTCTTAACATTCTGTATACAACTATTAATTGGACTATAGATAGTGCTGTGATCTTTTTCCATTCACAGGTTTATTTTAACAAGCCAATTAACCAAGATATTGTGAGTCAAAAGATAAAGGGAGGTGAAATGAATTATTACCTCACATTTCAAATTAAAAGAGCTGGGGAGTTTGGCACTAATGGGAAAAAGGCCAAATTACTAAGACCTTAGAGACTAAAACATGCAGAGCAGAACCATAGGAAGTTATTACATTAACAGACACTATCTAGAAAGTAGTGTTCCGTACAAGTACTTATGATTTTAAGATTGCTTTTCTTTTTCAGTATTTTAATAATTTTGAAAAAACAATGTGAAACAGTCTTATGAATAATCACTACTAGTAGAAAACAACTTCAAAAAGCCAATGTCAAAATAGGATTTACTTTACAGAAATCTTTATAAAATGGCTATAATTACTCTTTAAGTGAGGGACTATCAGAAAATTAAAAACTAATTCAAACCTAATGTATATCACATTAAGAATTAACTTTAAAATATCTTCAGCTGTTTCCTGTTCATTCTTATAGAGTCTCCATTTTGTAGAACAGTGCTCACGCTACAAACTTAAATGCTAACCTTAAAAATAAACACAGCCCCTCCCAACCCCAGCACAAAATCTTAATAAACTCCTAAGCACCAATAAAACTATCACTGAAGACCATCTCACAAATCTACCACTTCTCATGGAATACAATCCTTCTCATAATCCGACTTCGGGTCCGGGATAAAAAGAACCAAAAAGAACTCACAGTTCATGGATTAAAAGAATACAACTCTTCTTACGTATGTCTCTGAAATCAAGAGGAAATTTAAGAAAAAGATGGCAGTAACAGGTGATGGGTCTACTTTTGGGTAAAAATTCCTTTCTGGAAATCTCCACTAATCCTACCTCCCACTATTTTATTTGAGGTAAGAGACAGCTTGCTTATAGGAAATTTGAAGTCAAATATAACTGGTAACTTTTTGAAAATCTTGTAAATTAAAATCATCATTAATTTAGGTAACTGAAAATTCAGTCAATGGTCAAATGAAACTTTAAAAAAAAATCTCCTTTCTGGGTAAGAATAACTGAAGCTCTATTTTGCATGTGGTCATATAATCATAGGCAGAGAACACTAGGGAAGACCCTATGATTTTGAACACCTCAAATACCACAGTTTGTTTATTTGAAAGCTGAGGACTTTGTTAATTAGTTCTAAGATGTTATCGAATTATTATTTTTTATTCTAGAATTGAATGTGTTTCAGTGGCTGGTTTAGTTTGACAAAGACTCCTTAACTATAGAAAAATTATACTATGGCACATCAAGTATGTTCTGAACACAATTCTGAACACAATTCAGTCACTGCTTTAGATAAGGGACACAGTCATTTGATTTAAGAGTAGGTCCCCCTCTTTCTTTGTGGTAAACTTTCAAAAGCATGAAGACTACCCTGACTCAGATACTCTGGTTGTCTAAAATTCTCAGAGAAACGATCACCAGACAAATGAAATATGTAGTGAAATAAATAGTGCTCAAACACGCTCATAAATGCTCAATAATTCTCAATTAAATGAGATTCTACTGACAAAATGTTTTAGTCATGAAGTACCCATTTCACAATATTAAAAAAAGAGGGACAGATCATTTCGTTAACTTGAGAGTGACTCACTTGAGAGAAAAGCCATTTAAGCTGACGTTTAAATTGTCACTATTTAAAGGGGATGATTTTAATGACTAGTTTAGTATTTAAATGCTAGTAGCATATTGCATATCTGAAAATAAACCCGAAACATTTGATTAAATGATGAAAATTCTTAAAATCATGAAGACTATTCTAATCTCAATCATTTCTCATCACTGATTAGAAAAACTTAAAAAAATATAAAACACATTTTATAAAAAGACATTTTATATGGCTTCTTTAGGAAGAAGCCATATCTGAGGAAAATGGCAGCCAGTCACAGAGGGGTGACCTATTAATTACCTGTTTGAAGAGATTATTTATGGTCAGAAAACATTTTTCTTTCCTTGGAGAGTATAGGATGAATAACAGATTGAACTCTCTATAACTTGCCAGTATACTTGAGAAACTGCATCTCATTCAAATACTTCTCTTTATCCATGTTATCCAAGCCTCTCACCTCACCTGCATATTTTTAGTTCTCTCACTCACATCACCAGTGGGCTGATTTGGAAAGAAGTAGAATTACTATGCAACCCTTCTGGGGCATGTTCAATGTCTATGGGATGGCAGAGTGAGTTTCTAAGCAGCACTGAGAGTTTAGCAATGCCCTCTGGCAAGGGAGACTAGGGAAGAAAGCTGATTGTGGGGGTTG